GCAGGTCATAAATAAGAAAAAGTACACCCTACTATAAAAAATAATCATCATTTTAAAAAAATTTAAAACAGGGCGGCACAGAAGAAATAACAAATAATATAAAAGAATGACAGGGATGGTTTAACTGTAAACTTTGATTGATTGGAAGATCTGTACCATAAGTCAAGTTACACAACAGTGAAAGTCAATCAGTATTCTCATATTATGACAAGGAGGCGTGAACATAATTCTAAATATTACAATATTTACACAATAACCTTCAAATTGGACAAATGGAATTACATATACTAAGATGTTTGTGGAGTACAGACATTAAATTAATTTAATAATGAGTAAACACACTAAAGGATTATTTCATGCCAAATGTATTAACTATTTTTCCGCTTGTATAATTGCACTTATCATTATGTAGCGGCGGCTTTCACCGCCCACTGACTGTCTTGCGCTCATGTTCTTAATCTGTTTGTTTGTAGATCAACTAAAAGGCAGCGTGGAACAGCGCAGACTGCAAAGAGCCGCCTTAGGTGAGTCTAATCATTGTTCAGCCACTAATTCCCATAGCTTTACCATATTGCATGATTTTCCTGTGTACCATATTACTTATATTTATTCAAATACATTAAATACACGAGTTGCACCCAAAGATAGTTTAAATGAAATTTAAAAAGACACTTAAGGTTCCCAAACACGTTAGGTGCACTGGGTAGATTAGGTTACAGTTATACTGGGTATATTATTAAAGGCTCTCACACACGTTAGGTGCACTCCAGGCTCACACATATTAGGTGCACTGTGTAGGTTAGGTTACAGTTAGTTATACTGGGTGGGTTTATATTATTAAAGGGACACTCCAGGCTCCCACACACGTTAGATGCACTGTGTAGGTTAGGTTACAGTTAGTTATACTGGGTGGGTTTATATTATTAAAGGGACACTCCAGGCTCCCACATGTTAGGTGCACTGTGTAGGTTAGGTTACAGTTAGTTATACTGGGTGGGTTTATATTATTAAAGGGACACTCCAGGCTCCCACACACGTTAGGTGCACTGTGTAGGTTAGGTTACAGTTAGTTATACTGGGTGGGTTTATATTATTAAAGGGACACTCCAGGCTCCCACACACGTTAGGTGCACTGTGTAGGTTAGGTTACAGTTAGTTATACTGGGTGGGTTTATATTATTAAAGGGACACTCCAGGCTCCCACACACGTTAGATGCACTGTGTAGGTTAGGTTACAGTTAGTTATACTGGGTGGGTTTATATTATTAAAGGGACACTCCAGGCTCCCACACACGTTAGATGCACTGTGTAGGTTAGGTTACAGTTAGTTATCTGGGTGGGTTTATATTATTAAAGGGACACTCCAGGCTCCCACACACGTTAGATGCACTGTGTAGGTTAGGTTACAGTTAGTTATACTGGGTGGGTTTATATTATTAAAGGGACACTCCAGGCTCCCACACACGTTAGGTGCACTGTGTAGGTTAGGTTATAGTTAGTTATACTGGGTGGGTTTATATTATTAAAGGGACACTGCAGGCTCCCACACACATTAGGTGCACTGTACCAAACTGCAGTGTTTATCTTTTGCTCCAAAACAGGGCATTCTTCTGAACAGGACATTATGACTGGTTTCCTGGAGATTATGATCATCGCATACTACTGACTGCCTTTGCGAGTACAGTGCATGCCAATGGTCACGATGGATGGCCAGTGATAAATCAGAGCTTTGTATGACACTTGTTATTTTAGGATGGAGTGCTCCTTTAACTGCTGTCTGCTGAATACGGGAGGGGGACAATTAACCAAAAACCCAATATCTTTTACATTAAATTGATATGAACATTACAACTTTACATTGATATCACTGTAACAAATCTAACTGTTTTTGTCAGAATTCCTACATTCTTCTTGAAGCATTACTCTAAATGATAGTAGTGGCAGTGTTGCTAGCGGGTTTCCGCAATGCTGGGTGCAGTATCATGCAAAACCAGGGTTTAATGCAGTAAGCAGAATTTCACAGAATTCTGCTTCCCCACATCTTCCTGTTTAATGGCTTAATACCCAACATCCGAGACAGACTGACCCTAGCAGCAGTATGTGTGACTGCTCCCTCTATGGGCCAATTCTCCCACTGCAGTCTAGCATCATATTCTGGTTCCCTCATTCTAATTCAGCATTTAGAAAGATCTGCTACCGGCACTGTAATCCCTCTAGCAAGCCAGAAATGGATGTGTTTGTGGAGATGCAGCTCGCAAATGGTCTGTGTGTCTCTGTATGTATTCATGCTGTATGCCTCGTTTATCATATAGTTACATTGCTGGCAAGTAAAATGTTTAATATACAGATTTCTGGCTATTTCTTTCTTTCTACAGCGATAAAATAGGCACTCTGACAGCATAACCCCTACAAATTAGTCCGTTTTTTTGTGGGGGATGTTATTATACTCAGTCTGTCTCAATGGAACACTATTATACTCAGTCTAGCTCAATGGAACCCTATTATACTCAGTCTGTCTCAATGGAACACTATTATACTCAGTCTAGCTCAATGGAACCCTATTATACTCAGTCTGGCTCAATGGAACCCTATTATATTCAGTCTGGCTCAATGGAACCCTATTATACTCAGTCTGGCTCAATGGAACCCTATTATACTCAGTCTAGCTCAATGGAACCCTATTATACTCAGTCTAGTTTAATTGAACCCTATTATACTCAGTCTAGTTTAATTGAACCCTATTATACTCAGTCTGGCTCAATGGAACCCTATTATACTCAGTCTACCTCAATGGAACCCTATGCAGGACCTCTGCACCATAGCCACTCTACTGAGCTGTAGTAGTTATGGTGCTCTGGGTGTTTCTTTAATTGCTAATACCTGGCTGGAAAAGGATCTTGCTTTCCCCTTTAAATATCAGCAATAATAATACCATGCTCTGTAACTGTTCCTTCGGAGCTAGATTGAGTATAATAGGGTTCTATGAATTTAGATTAAGTGAGAGGGTTCCATCGAGCCAGACTGAATATAATAGGGTTCTATCGAGCCAGACTGAATATAATAGGGTTCCATTGAGCTAGACTGAGTATAATAGGGTTCTATTGAGCTATACTGAGTATAATAGGGTTCCATTTAGCTATACTGAGTATAATAGGGTTCCATTGAGCCAGACTGAGTATGATAGGGTTCCATTGAGCTAGACTGAGTATAATAGGGTTCTATTGAGCTAGACTGAGTATAATAGGGTTCCATTGAGCTAGACTGAGTATAATAGGGTTCCATTTAGCTAGACTGAGTATAATAGGGTTCCATTGAGCCAGACTGAGTATGATAGGGTTCCATTGAGCCAGACTGAGTATAATAGGGTTCCATTGAGCCAGACTGAGTATAATAGGGTTCAATTAAGCTAGACTGAGTATAATAGGGTTCCATTGAGCTAGACTGAGTACAATAGGGTTCCATTGAGCTAGACTGAGTATAATAGGGTTCCATTGAGCCAGACTGAGTATAATAGGGTTCAATTAAGCTAGACTGAGTATAATAGGGTTCAATTAAGCTAGACTGAGTATAATAGGGTTCCATTGAGCTAGACTGAGTATAATAGTGTTCCATTGAGACAGACTGAGTATAATAGTGTTCCATTGAGCCAGACTGAGTATAATAGGGTTCCATTGAGCTAGACTGAGTATAATAGGGTTCCATTGAGCTAGACTGAGTATAATAGTGTTCCATTGAGCTAGACTGAGTATAATAGGGTTCCATTGAGCTAGACTGAGTATAATAGGGTTCCATTTAGCCAGATTGAGTATAATAGGGTTTCATTGAGCTAGACTGAGTATAATAGGGTTCTATTGAGCTAGACTGAGTATAATAGGGTTCCATTGAGCCAGACTGAGTATAATAGGGTTCCATTGAGCCAGACTGAGCATAATAGGGTTCCATTGAGCTAGACTGAGTATAATAGGGTTCTATGCTTCGTCCATTCTTGAAGTAGAACAGTGATAGTTGAGGCCTGATAAGTTACTTTTTGTTAGCTTTAATAAGAAGATGCTGCACTCTGGAGCTAACCTATTAAATATATATACATACGTACATACATATATAGAGAGAGAGTTAGAAAGGATATAAATAGGACACGGCAAACAAAGCTGTAACTCAGCCAATTATTATTATTATTGGTATTATTATTATTATTATTATTGGTATTATTATTATTATTGGTATTATTATTATTATTATTATTATTGGTATTTATATTGCGCCAGCTTATTCTGCAGCGCTTTACAATAAAGTGCTCACTCAGCCTTCTATAGCACTGCAGAGATTATCCCTTGTATGAGCTTCATGGGAACTGAACTCCAATTCCCATAATCCTCCATTGTGAAATTGTAGAGCAATGTCCTCCTGAAATGTAAACGCTGCATTTTGGGTGTGGGATAGGAAGGTTGGGTTGATGGAGCTAAGCTGATATTAAATATGAAGAAAACAGATACAAACTTGTAAACAAAAAGAACAAAATAACAAACTGTAACCTAATCATACACATTGCACTAAATACTTCCCATGCCTGCAGTCGCGAGGGATGAAATACTTTCAGAATGACTTGAGTGACCTCTAATGGTGACATTCCATTATTACAAGCTTTTTATTCTGCTTTACAAAACAATTACTATCTCTCGTGAGATTTTTGTGTCTTTATTGTAGTCACATTAGTCCAGTTCTTTTATATTTAAATTTCTATTATTTTTATCAGTACAATACAGTAAATTAATTTACACAATGTGACATAGTACTAACTGTCACGAACGCACCCTACTCCAAGAGTGTGCGTGACGTAGTTGTGGTGGTGAAAGGGTTAAAGTTCACTATTTGTCTGCACTAGACCGGAAATAATGACAAAATCCCCCTTTAACACCACCCACACTTAAACATAATAATATAACTATTACTACTTTAACGCTGCCACCACCAAGACAATTTATAAATGGGGTGCCTTGGTCCCCCAGGTAAATCAATAATAAAACCCACCAAATATTACTTAGTACAATATTTAAGGAATTATAAAAATACTAACTAGTCTCTTCAGGTAACATGATTCTTAACCAGACAAAGGCAAAACTTAATAAATGAATGTTTATTATGAGCAAAAGATAGTCACAGTGCATATAAAAATATATGATAAACAAATTATTTACACCAACAACAGATAAAAACAAAAAGGATAAAATACAGAAGTCCTAATTACTCACTTAGGTTTTCAAAGTACAACTTCTGTCCAGGGGGTCTCTGGCAAGGAAAGATGGTGACTCACCCAAACTTAGATCTTGGCCCCAAGCAAGTACACCAACACCCTTCAGGATCATTAGATATATACCCTGTGGTTTATCAAGTCTTGCCCAGGGGTGGAGTTAAGGCGTACCTACAGAAATAATAACTGACCACCTCCTTTGTTCCAGACCACTGTCAATCCAAATGGAAACATTTGACTCTATCTTCTTTTTTGTACCTGCCACAGAAATAATAATTGCATCTACAAATTTGTTATTATTTTCCCATTCCATAGACATGTTGCACGTCCCACCCACGATCCAATAGGACGGACATCACAATTCCTTTCCCTAGGGTCAAGTTAGGCCACTCATGTTTGGACTTGGTTAGAAGATGGCGCTTGTCACATTCCAAATATAACAAAAATGAGGCTTAATTATTATTCTGTGGGGGTAAATATGAATGTTTTTGTCCTTCCTTTGGATATGATACTAGAACAAAGCTAATGGCATTTACATATCAAAGAGATTTACTCATCACTTACAAGGTACAGGCCAAATGGATGAAGAGACATTCAGACTTTTTCCAAGTGTAGAACCTCACACCTTGCAGACTTCACATCCATACAGTAAAATCCTTTTCACATTCCTATGCCATTCACACTACCCCTTCTGTCATCTGCCCTCTGTTGGGGTCCCAGCTTCAAAAGATGTAACCCCTGTTGACCTCAGCAATAGCATCTCTGTAATTTGTGCCATTTACTACAAGAAATCACATTAAAAGATGATATTCCATAGTGTCATAATAAATTATACACCCTTGCCGTGACACTAACGTTTTGTCATAGAGATAGAAGTTAAAGGAGCACTATAGGGTCAGGAGCGCAAACATGTATTCCTGACCCGATAGGGTTAAAATCACCATCTAGCTTCTCTGGCCGCCTCATGCCTCCCTAAATATAGCAAAATCTCACTTGTATTCAAAAAATATGCTTTTCAAAATATGCACATAGAAGGCAGTATAGTAGATCAGACAGCTCCTACTGAGTTTGGACAGTATTAACCCCTTCCCGACCGCAGACGGAAATTTTCCGTCAACCTTGTCCTTCAGTTAAGGACCGTTGACGGAAAATTTCCGTCATTTACTAAAGTTAACCCCAGATCGCCGTGATCGCGGGGTTAACAGTGCCTGATCGGGCTGCCCCAGCACCGGTGCTCGCTCTGACTGGCTGTCAGAGCGAGCACATGTGCTCAGTATACTCACTTTCCATCTCCCTGCACTTCCAGGTTCTGTGTGAAGTGCAGGGAGATGGATCAGTGCTGCTGATCTTCTCCCTGTGTAAAAAAATAAAGTTAAATCCCACCCCCCCTTTCCCCTGCATTAATAAAATCAACCCCTTCCCTGCCAATTGATCACTGACTACAGTGATCAATTGGTAGGGTATACATTTTAATGTCATCTGATTTTTTTTTTTAACCCCTGAGGGTTAATTTTTTTTTTTAACCCTCAGGGGTTAATTTTATTTTATTAATTAATTTTAAATATTTTATAATTATATATATTTTGCTAGCTGGAGTGGGTGGGAGTTATGGGAAAATTAGGTATTTACTGTTAGTGCTGCTTACTGCTAGTTAGGGGTTAACGGTAAAAGAAAAGTTTAAAAAATTTTTTTAAAGTGTAAAAAAGTTAAGAAAGTGTAAAACATTTAATAAGTAAAAAAAAAGTTTCAAAACGGGTTTTACAAAGTAAAAAAGTTTTACAAAGTAAAAAATACTTTAAAAAAATGCTCATTACCACTACACTTGGTACAAGCTAGCGGAAAAATGATCCCACGCTAAGGTTCAAAATATGCCTTTTGAATTGCCCTGGGATGTCTTCTTTAAGAAATCTTATGCCTTTATGGTGTAATTGGATTATATAGCCTTGTAAAATACTCTAAAATGGGACATGGACACAGCGTAAAAATTCAAAATTTGAGAAAAACTGGAATGGCTGTGTCTCAAATGTGCCCCTTCAATGTTCACATATACCTGGCAAAGGTACATACAGGGGTATTGCTGTACTCAGCCAACATAGCTGAGCAACATATGAAGTATTATACAGTCATAGCACACATAAGGTTTGCAAAATATACTGCGCAAACTCACTTTGTGTGTCAAAAAGGCAGAAAAATGCTTACTACCACTACACTTGGTACAAGCTAGCGGAAAAATGATCCCGCGCTAAGGTTCCAAATAGGCCTTTTGAAATACCCTGGGATGTCTTCTTTAAGAAATGGTATGGCTTTATGGGGTATTTGGATTATATAGCCTGGTAAAATACTCTAAAATGGGACATGGGCACAGTGTAAAAATTTAAGGTTTGAAAAGAACTGGAATGGCTGTGTCCCAAATGTGCCCCTCCGATGTCCACATATACCTGGCAAAGGTACATACGGGGGTATTGCTGTACTCAGCCGACATAGCTGAGCAACATATGAAGTATTATACAGTCTTAGCACACATACGATTTGCAAAATATACTGTGCAAACTCACTTTGTGTGTCAAAAAGGAAAAAAACCACTTATTACCACTACACTTGGTACAAGCTAGCAGAAAGATTATCCCACACTAAGGTTTAAAATGTGCCTTTTGATATACCCTGGGATGTGTTCTTTAAGAAATGGTATGCCTTTATGGTGTAGTTGTAATATGTAGCCTGCTTCAAGTGCTCCAAAGTGGGACACGAACGCATCAAAACCCTCCATGAAAATTCACAATTAAAAACCTTAACGTGTCACGTCTCTTTTACAGCACTGTAACTTCACAAAATAGTGTCTAGGTCATACATTGGGCATATTGTTTTACTCAGAAGACTTAGCCGAGCATAATTTGGGGGGTTTGAACTTAGTGGCACATAAGAAATGTACAAAATGCCTAGCAAAAATGTAATCCGTATGTAAAAAATGCCCAAAATAATTTTTTGCCACATACTTTGGCATATATTGGTGAAAACATGGGGGCATGTTAAGGCACAATATGCACCATATGAGATACCCTGGAGTCTCTACTTTTACCAATGGTAGGCCTTTGTGTTTTTTTTTTGAATAGTCAAACTGCTATAATACCCCAATTTGAAGCATAGGCCCATTAAATCCGCCTCTCAAAATTCTACAAAATTCTAAACGGACAGGTCTCCTATATGGCACTGTAGCTTCACGAAATAGTGCCAAATACATACAATGGGGGTATCGTTGTACTCAGCAGAAGTAACTGTACACAAAAAAAAAATCGCTCCACATTAAAAGTTTTACTCCTTGTGCTTTGTGACCTATAACTACCAAAAAAAAACCTTAAAATCCCAGGCACATTATATATTCTGTAAATCAGAACAACCTGCACTAATTAGACACACATTATTATTGCAAAAACTGTACAAAAAACACCAAATTTTTCATTTTTTTTGCATTTTTTCTGTATTTTTTTAATAATAAATAAGCATTTATATATATATATATATATATATATATATATGTTACATCAAATTAAAGCCCTTTCTGTCCTTTAAAAAACAGTATATAATATGTGTTGGTGCAATAAACGAGAGAGATGCAAATTGCAACTGAACGCATACAGCAAGAAAATGCAAAAATTGCTTGTGTCATTAAGCGTAAGACAAGCTTCTGAAGCTGTGTCCTTAAGGGGTTAATGAGCAGATTATAATCTTCTCTTTTTTAGGGAAATTATTTTTCTATCTGGTTTCAATATCACTTGTCAAAATTATATCTTACAAAAATAGGCAAAATTGAAAGTCCTGCAACATCTGTGGACTCGTCTAATTGCAGTGAGTACCCATCACATTGATGCAGCAGAGATATGAGTTCTGTATGGATGTCATCAGCAAGATCATGAATACGACACAAAACAGTGTTGTTGGAAAGTGGCACAGCTTACATTTGTTTACACAACTTTTCACTTAACATACATGACACTATTTCTTTTGCACATGGTTTTAGTAGTGATTCCCCAATTGTGTGTGCTTCTCCGGCAAGTGCATTGCGATAACTCACTCTGTAAGAAGCCTCTGTGGCTTTTTCATTTTCATCTTTAAATGTTTTGCTCATAAACTGTTTAGTCTTCTGATACCCCCAAACTTTTAAAAAGGCAATGTTTTTATCATTGCACTCTGCGTGGTATTGCTCAAAATTACGATGTAATTTAGCAGGTGCTAATGAACTATTTGTCAATATTTTGTTGTAAAGTAAACATTGTGCTACAGGACAATATTAATAGGCATGTGCATGGGGAAAATTTTCGGTTCATTTCGGCATTCCGAAATTCGGGACTTTCATGATTCGAGACTTCGGCAATTCGGCACTTCAACACTTCAGAACTTCGGCATTTCTGCACTTCGACACTTTGGGACCCCACCCGTTTTGCGCGAGTGGGGGCTTTTAAACTATTGCCCACCCCGGCCCCACCCCTGAGCAGCGGATGAAGAAGGATTTTTTTTTTGCGCTAGTTTTTTTTTATTTTAATTGCGTCGGTTATTATGGATTTTTTATTTGGCCTTTTTTGGGGCTGAAAAAAGAAGATTTTAGAAGAAAGAAAACATTGAATGGAAAGTTTTATTTTCAGGTACTTAGTTAAAGGTCCCCCCCTCATTATTTTTAGGGTGAGGGGGGTAGGTAGGGGGTTAATTATTTTTGGGGGGAAGGGGGTGTAGCGGATGGCACTGGGCTGTCCTGCAAATGTCTTGTAAATAACTGCATTCGTGTGATCTGCTAGTTTTCTATGTGTTTAAAAGAATTGTATTCCTCTGATTGTTCGGTAGTTTTATTCCCTTAGTTCATTCGAATGAAACTACCGAACAACTAGACCTCCCCTGTGTGAAGTGTGTCCTCAATTAACCGTTGCAACATTGTTGCGAACGGGTAATTGCCTAGTAAGTAGCCGTCCTTTGTTCTCGGGGG